GAACGGGCCGTTCCCAAGTCCGGAACGGGCCGTTCCCAATTCAGAACGGGCCGTTCCCAAGTCCGGAACGGGCCGTTCCCAATTCAGAACGGGCCGTTCTGGTCACCCAGAACGGGCCGTTTCAGGGTCCAAATTAACCCACAACGGCCATATCTAGAACGGCCGTTCCGATTTTGGAACGGGCCGTTCTGGACCCCCTGTACGAAGTCTATAAATAAACAGTTGTGGCTCATTTTTCAGGGGTCCAAAATTTCGTCCAGAGCTCGAAATTTCTCTCTTTTTCTCTCTTTTTCTCCCTCTTTCTCTCTCTTGTATTTCTCGAGAGTTTGTGAGGTATTGTAGTGTGAAAAGGGCGCCACAAAGCACCTAGAATCACCATTAACAAAGCTTGATACGAGGTATTTCAGTCAATCTTCTTCTCTCTCCTTTTATTTTTATCTTTGTTTCTTATTTTTGATAAACATCATTATAATAAAAACAATCATGTAGATATTTTAGGGTCATTCGTATAATTTAAATTTCAAACATGTAAATAGTTATTAATAAAGGGGATCTAATATTTAATTTATTATTTCTTATCACGTTAACTTCATCATAGGGTACCGATTTAGGGCGCTGTAAGGGTGATTAATACCTTCCTTACACGTAACCGACCCCCGAACCCAATTCTGGTTATCAAGGCCATTATTGGACTTTTAAAAACCTTTTCTTTTTCCAATGTTTTGAGTAAAACATTGGTGGCGACTCCATGAACCTATTTTCAAAACCATTGATTAAGAATTAGTCTGGTATCCGGACATTTCTTAATTGATGAGATCTTTAATAGGATGTTTAAACCATTAGTCGCGAGATCGGAAATTTTTGGGTTGCGACAATGTTGACCTTGTTGAGGATGATGATAGTATTGTTATGTTGTAAGTTTAAATGATGTTAAGATATTTAGTATATATGTTGTTTGTCTCATGTGTCGAATGCGAAGATGATTATATATATAGTTGTTATGTTGCATATTAAATTATTATGAGTTGTTTATTGTCTCTAGCTTACCATTGCATGTTTCCATGTGGTTTGGACTGCGATGATCATACGTTGTATGAGAACAAGGCAAGGATAGACTAGAAATAGTTGTTAGAGGCCACAAGAGGTGCCTGGAGATGGATTTTTTTTTTGTAGGCTACCTTATAGTAGCATATTTTGTTGTATATAATTGGTTGTCGTTGGTTGTTTGATTAGTAACTTCTGTTATAAATATTTTATTATACTATTTTATTATATATATTTTAGTAGTATGTAGTGTTGTTCGTAGTGTGACGACCATAGCGAGTCGTTACATATTCCATATAAGTAAAACGCAAAATATCTCTAACGTTTTATCGTCAATTCCTTTCTCAACCTAAAGCGTCTAAAAAGAATGACGTTTTATTTATATCCTTTCTAGCATGTCTAAAACAACTTATTTTAGTAAATTACTTTTAAAATTTTTATTTTTAATTTATGTTGGCCAAAAACTAGGTCGTGGTCATCACACATGGAATTCATACTTATAGGATAAGCATTTTAAATTAATCTTTTTGACCTTAAAAATAATATAAATTAAAATTAAAGTAATTCAAATTTTTAATTTTTTTTAATTTTAAAATTTTTTCATCCAAACAAACAAAAGATTTTTCTTTTATAAGTACACTTTTAGGCTAAAACATTAGTTTCTTGCTTTTAACTTTTCCCTTTTTAGGTCTTTTTGGCTCGATTAAGAGAATCTCCTACTTTGATTTATTCATTTTTTCTTTAAGACTTTTCTTTTTATTCATTGAAATTATATAACAACATAATTCAAACATAAAACCTTGTGCATACTATGTTAACCTCCACTACTAAATTGAACCATATTGATTTTATCTATTTTTTTACTTATCTAAATGATCAATAATTCATTATGAGAATATATAGTAACATCTATCTTATATGAAAATGTTCATATGTATTCTTACAATATATTTATCATTTAACCCAATAGTGTTTGATTAAATAAGAACAAAATTAATAAATATTGATTACTCTCATAATAGAGTATTAAAATGAAAAAAATCCACTAAATAATTAACTATTTGTTCTAAGCTATCGTTTTTAACAAATCATCCGTGCAAAATGTTTTCATGCATATTCTTGATAAAATAATGTTTATTTTAAGATGTGGGAAAAAACCTTTTACGTAAAAGCTTTTTTATTTTTATAATTTATAAAATAATATTTAGGCACTTATTTGCACTATCTTAATTTATAGACAGTAAATTAATACACTTTGTACCTTTATTTATTTTTCATAAGAAAAAGTAATAAGTTTAGAATCAATTATGTATTGATTATAGTAAAAGATGAAGAGAGAAAAAAAAAAGTAATTGTATGAGTAATAAAAAGTTTTTATTTACAATATAAATACTTAAGGAAGTTAAAAGACTAAATCGTGAAAATAAAAATTTAAATATAAATAAATTAATTTAATTTTAAAGAAAGTTATCATTAAAAATAAATGTTAAAAATAATTAAAAAGAAAGTATCGCCTAAATGCTAAACCTTTTATCTATTGTTATTGATACTGAACACATTTAAATTAAAACTAATAAAATTTGATATGAATCAAATTATAATTTTTGAAAACAATCTAATTCAATAAGTCATATACACAGCATATTTTCTCATATCCCAGTTTCCATTGTAAATGTTGTTTTACCAAAAATAAAAAATTGGCTTGGGTTAAGATAAACCCCGCACGAAAGCACTGATCCGCGCTTGATGAAGCGGAGCGAAATTTCATTTAGGCGCGCAATGAAATCTGAATAGTGAAAAGAGAAAAAGAATGAATCTCATTCGTCCATAATAGCCAACTCATCAATCCGCGAATCCAATTCAAGTCAATTTTAAATCGTGTCCGTCTATTTTGGACGCATGTAATAATTGACAGAAAAAAGGAAATCCACGTCATCAATCCGCGCCAAACACCCGTAGCCAATGAAAACGCGAAAACCTTTTCCTATATTAATCCCCCATTCTCCACTCACATCTTCATCCACTCTACGATAATTCCAAATTCCCAAATCGAAACCCTAATTCGAATTGAGTGTTAGGATGGCACCAACAAAGGCAGAGAAGAAGCCAGCGGAGAAGAAGCCCTCGGAGGAGAAGAAGTCGACGGTGGCAGAGAAGGCTCCAGCGGCGGAGAAGAAGCCAAAGGCAGGGAAGAAGCTGCCGAAGGAGGGAGGAGCTGGCGGAGACAAGAAGAAGAAGAGAAGCAAGAAGAGTGTGGAGACATACAAAATCTACATCTTCAAGGTTCTGAAGCAGGTTCACCCAGACATTGGTATCTCAAGCAAGGCCATGGGAATCATGAACAGCTTCATCAACGACATCTTCGAGAAGCTTGCTCAGGAATCTTCTAGACTTGCCCGCTACAACAAGAAGCCAACCATCACTTCAAGGGAGATCCAGACTGCGGTCAGGCTTGTGCTGCCCGGAGAATTGGCCAAACACGCCGTCTCCGAGGGTACCAAGGCCGTCACCAAGTTCACTAGTTCTTGAACTAATTATCTTATCGCTTTTTTGGGCTCTTGTTCCATGTGTTACATTATATGTATATTTTAGATCTGATCAACTATGTTTGGATTTCCGTTGGTAGGTTTTTAGGTTTTAATTTGTATTTGAAGAATTGGGATCGGGTTGATCCTCTGTGTAATCAAATGGTAGAATTGACGATACAGGAGCGAATATTGTTTTGATTGGAAATTTGAGTGCTTGTTTCTGTGTATTATTTGAACTCGATATTCTCTATCGATTCGAGCCTTAATCAAATTTGATTTTGAAAATTGTTTGCTTTGTTTTTTCTATCATGTGCCTGTAGTAAATTAAAAAAAAAAGCTTGTTCTAATCATTTTTTGCAAACGAAGAATTTGTAGTAGTTAATTGAATGTCCTAGAAGTGTCTTTTTTTTTTTTTTTTTTTTTTTTTTTTTTTCTTCTTTTTACTAGCTTGGACTTTATGTGTACAATTTAACTCATTGACTTGTTAACCGATTGGTACCGAATTCGGTGTTTAGCCTACGTCATTTACTTTGTTTCTCATCTCACAAAATTTGCTAAAATGGATTCTTTGTTGTCAATAGAAATAAGTTTTGCTGGAGTATGGAAGAGTATTGGTCATTGAATCATTATGAAACTATTGTTTTAAATTGAATAAAAAAATCGGACTATGTTGTATTTAATTTATTTATTTTGGTACAATAAACATATCTACTAGATAGTCTTAAAAGAACATTTCTAAGAAGAAAATTTATGTAATTTTATGTTTTCGGAGAATTGTTATAGATAGTATGTTCTTAAATATACGAGAACATTTTGATCATCTTAAAAGGCTGATTTTGGGCCCCCCGCCTGCAAATGCCATAACGTCTAATATTATAGATAACGTCCCTGTTGATGCTTGGTATTCCGTTATTCTGTTTTTCCATGAAAAGATCTTGTGCAATTGGTACATTTGAGATGTAAGGTTTCATACTACATCTGTTGCTTCACTCTTTGACATGATATTCTTAACGCATCTTTTTCATAGTTCGATGGTAGAGAAAATCCTTTCATTAGTTATTGAGATTGTATGAATAAGGCATTTTAAAAGCCTTTATTGGTTCTTTATTTTTTAAAGCAAAAGTCGCTTTATTTCTTCTGGATGAACCATAGAGAAAAGTATAAAAAGATTCAAGTGAATGACACATGTAAAGTCAGAGATTAATCGAGTTTATAATTTTTAAGAGACTAAAATGACTGATTTATACAATTTCGTAAACTAATTTAAGAATTAAGTCTTAAACAACTAGCATACACGGTCTACCTTTTTCACACTTAAGAGCCACAAAAGGGTGAATGCAAAGAGATTATTTGAACCAATTAGTTATGCGTTTCAGTCACTTAAATCACTGAAAGCATATTAATAAATATTCTATTTTCCAATATCCAGATTCATGCAATGGTCATTATTACTCACTACTAGAACACTATAAACGAGCTTTTAAGTTAACTGTTTGTATGATTATTCGTTAATCAGCTGAGCCCATTATAAGTACATAAACACAAGTTTCAAACTGTTACTACCGGTGTAAGTCACTTATCATTCTGCTGCTAGTAACAATTACCACAAAAAAAAACTCAAGAAACATACAGGAAAACAGCTGAGACCAAATTAAAGATACCGTCGATGACCGTATATTAGTCTTTCAAGTTCGAGGAACATGAATTCAAACCATGCACAAAATGAGACTATGGTCTTGGATAAATTTTTTAGTATTTACAAGAGAAGAGAATATAAAACTTTGGATGAAGGACTATAAGCTAACAACATAGACTATTCGAGTATCAAAGGTAAAATTTGAACATATAGCAACTTGCAACCAAAAAACCGTCTTACTTGTTGTTTGACAATATTGGTGGCTACCCTTTGTGCGCATAACTCACCTGAATGCGTCTTCCATCTAATATCTGAAAAATGATAAGGAACAAGGTCCATATAACAATGTTAGGTGAAATAAAAGCAAAAAATTAAGCCAACCAAGCCCACATATTATTAAGAAAATGAAATTTAAGGTAATTCAAATTAAACAAATAGGGAAAAAATTTTCTGAAAACCTGGGCGTGCATTTCTTTGCAAGCTGTAGCAGCTGTAGTTTCAGAAACGAACCGCACAAATCCATACCCTCTTGATTTCTCAGTCATGTGATCACATATTACTTTAACTGCAAAAAAAAAAAAAAAAAATTGGTTGCAACATAGTGACAACCAATTTGAGAACACAAAATATAGTAAAAGATCTTTGATTTTACCTTCAATGATTTCACCGTGTTGCCCAAAGGAGTCTCTGAGAACCGGTTGATTGGTATCGTAGGAAAGCCCTTCGTTCCAAAAAAAGAAGAAAAAAAACACTAACAGTTAAAATTGAAATTCCGATCGAGATCAATTGAAAACTGAAAAGGGCAATTTTCATTATTAATTAAAAATAAAAGAGAAATGAAAGAAGTTGGAGAAAACCTGCGACAAACAACTTGGTTGATGAGTAATGACGCACACGCACACGCACAGTTACACTTAGAAGTGGAGGTAAGGCGAGAAGAAAAGCGCTGGTTAAACGCATAACTCTGAACCTTCGATTGATATCCGAAACTCAATCGAAGACTAGGGAAGAAAAGAAACGACAAGCCGTTTCCACATACAGCGGAAAGGCGAAACGACACACTCTCCACTATGACGACAAGAGGAGGAAATAGAGTAGTTTATTGGTAGTAAGTTTTTTCAAATATGCAAGTATATTTATGCAGCTTACAATACTATTTTGTTCATGTAGCGTTAATGTGAATTGTGACAAAAATAGTGTGATAATATGTGAATTTTTTTAGTTTTTAAAATAACAAATATTATATTTGAACCTTTAATTATTTTTTTTCAAATAAAAAACTTAGTTATTATGTTAATAAATTTCTTTATCATATAAATAAAGCTTATAATATAATTTACATATATTTTCCACTAATAAATAAAACAATTACCTTATTAATAACATAATTGATAAATTAATATGAATTATTAATAATATTACTAAAATAAATATTTTGATAAATTTATTTGAAAAGGTTTTACTAGAAATGTACGATATAATTATTGACCTTCTAATTTATAAATTTATATTCATATAATATATTTTTAAATATATATATATATATATATATATTTTAATATTACACCTAAAAAATTCTTCTAATATATTAATATTTTTATGAAATTATTATTTTATCTGTAAATGTACTAATAATATTATTAATATTAATTTATCAAT